TGAGGGGTCTGTGATGATTTTCCCTGCCCGTTTCCTGGTTCTTGAGAGGTACAGATCCTGGATGGAGGGCAGGGGGGCGCTGATGATCCTTTCTGCTGCCCGTACAGTCCGCTGCAGTCTGCTCCTGTCCTGTTTAGTGGCTGCTCCATACCAAACTGTGATGGAGGAGCACAGGACAGACTCAATGACCGCAGTGTAGAACTGGATCAGCAGCTCCTGTGGAAGACTGTACTTCCCCAGTTGTCTCAGGAAGTACATCCTCTGCTGGGTCTTTTTGAGGATGGAGTTGATGTTGGTCTCCCACTTCAGGTCCTGGGAGATGGTGGTACCCAGGAACTTGAAGGTCTTCACAGAAGCTGTGATGAAGGCAGTTTTGTCTTTAATTATATTCAACAATATAACACATTTGACCACTTTTAAGTGATTTTTCTAACTTTAATACAGTAAAGTTAAGGTTATATACCTAATTTCTAGTAAGTGGCCCAGCCCCTCCTATATTTTTATGTAAGTTTGGACACCCCTGGTGTAAGCAATGCATTTACAAGACACTGCAGCAATCTGCATCAACCAAGACAATAGCAAGGAGATTTTGGGTACAGCATGCTTGATCAGGATTCATTTTAGAATACAGAGCACTTCATCATCTAAAGCTTGGTTCAGATATGAATTTTTAACTCTTGAGATTCTTGTGACACTCGCCTCACCTTACCCCCAGAGCTGTACCTGGCTGTCCTGAAAGGCCGATCCTCATGAGGATTTTTTTTAAATATGTCACTCAGAAAACATAGAGCTAATGTGACATTATTAAATTGTATACTACAAGCACCAAAAGTAGGGGTGAAGATGCTCTGTCAAGTCTTTTGGCAGCAGCAACAGCCATCACTTTGTCTGCATAATTGCCACTTGAGGCTGATAAGGGAGGTTTAAATCCTGCTTAGTTAAGCTTTAAAGTGCTGCTTAAGAAGGCCGAGGCTGCGAGCCACAATGCTCAATTTGTAGGCTTTAAATGAGAGCTGCAAGTAATTATTTTTGTTAAATTCTCAGTTTGAAGATTCGTTTTCAATTAATCATGTAAATGTTTTTCTTTAAAACATTAGCAAACTGCAAAAATACCCACAGAAAGTTCACACAGCCCTAGGTGATGTCTTCTTATTTTTTTTTGTCTAAATAAACAATAAACAATAAAGTATGATAAATAAAATAGCATTCAATAAAATATCAATCACAACAACCCAACAGAGGATCTTGACACTGAGGGATGGTACAAGGCTCAGAATACCTCTGTAAATGCTGAAAATTGGTTTCATACATGAAATTGGTGCCTGAATGCAAAACAATATTTGCATCTGGATTATTTAGTCATATTTATTTTTGAAAACATCAAGAGAGTGCCTCCCATTTGTTCTTTTTCCAATGTGATGTGTTTTGTTTTAATCAAGATATAACATATCTAAATAAGGTAATGAACAAATATTTCTGGTTCAGATCTGGATTGACTCCAAATGTTTGTCACTTGTAAGCAATAGTTAAAGTGGTAATTACTAATTTGGGGGTTCTAAGATCCTGTCTAGCAATGCGGTGTTGGAAAATTAGTAGTTTAGAAATAAGTCACAATATATTTTTACAAAATAATGAAAAATTATTGTCCGTTAGATATTTTGTTGAGATTTGCTGTTGCTGGCTCTGAGGTTGACTTCTCTTTGTGGGTTTACATTCTACTGTATGTTAACCTGCTGTAGCTAGCAAGCTAGTACAATGATAAATATAGCAAGTGAGACTAGAGACCATTATCACTGCAGCTTGTCCTACACCAGTACAGCAGACTCCATTGCTGTGAACTTTACTACAGTACTGCTAGCAACACAATTTAGCCTGCACTTGCTGTCCAGTAATCCCACATAACCTTGGAATAACAGAAATTTGCTTTTCAAAGATGACCAGATAACTACAACACTGTGAAAAGATCCAGTGGAAAGAGAAATGGAAACACTTCCTGTAACCTTAAAATTTCTAGTTGGTCAAGTTTTGCTTGTGGAAAAAAAATAACTCTTGTTGGAAAAGAATCTGGTAGAGACGTTTAGATACAATTACAGCCTATTAAACTTGTTTCACACCGTTAAATAAATAGGTAAATACTTGATCTCAGTGGAGCCTTTGATACCATTGAACATAACATTGTGCTTAACAGTCTTACAGTTTTAGCTGGTATCGCTGGCTCTACGTTAGATTGGTTTTCTTACTTATCTGGTAGGATTTTATCTGTTAGAACAAGCAAGTTCGCCTCCAACCCTTTAACCTGTGGGGTTCCACAAGGTTCTGTCTTGGGTTCATTATTATTTTCTTTCTATATGCTTCCTTTAGCTGGCATCATTCCTTCTTTGAATGCCATTTTTTATCATTTCTATGGTGAAGACATTCAGCTGTATATGTCTTTTAAGCCTCAGGCTCAGGTTATCTGACCTAGCCCACTATTTTCACCCAAGTTAGTAACTGGCTCTCTAGCAATACCTATTGTTACTTGGTGTAATATTTGATATTTCTCTGGGTCTCACTTGTGTTTCTTTTATTAAAGGAACATTTCTATATTGTGACATATGGTCTCCTCAACTGAACTGGAAAGAATTACTCATACATTTGTGTCATTGCGTCTAGATTATTGCAGTGCTGTATTTAGTGTGTTGGACAAATCGTCTCTTTTATGCCTCTAAGCTATAGAAAATGCTGCAGCCAGACAATTAAAACATTCTAGCAAGTGAGCTCAAATCACTTCTATTTTATACTTGTTATAATTTTTCCCCAATATATTTTAGTTTTAAAATTCTTGTATTAACATACTAAATGGCCAGGCTTTAGCTTCTTACAAAACAGTACTACCACTTTGTTGACTCTGTGGACTCTCCTAAAAAATTATTTAAAACATTTTTTTTAAACAGGCTTCCTGGTGAGAATCTTACAGATTTTTGAGGGGCTATTATGGCTTAAGTGTACTTTTCCAGTATAACTGATTCTCATTCTCGAGTGTCAGCTTCTTTTTAACATGTAAACACAGACTGCGCAACGTAGGCTCAAGGCAGTAATGACCTCTGATCTATTGATTCATATCCTGGAACATGATTTTTCATCTCTCTGGTCTCATGCGTACTGATTTGTGTCCATGTAATTCAGATTTTCTTTTACAGGGCGAGAAAGCTGACTTTTGGAGGTCTGAAGGACGGTTTAGTGGTGGGGTTATTCAATTTGCCACTTAACCCAGAGACCCAGGTTTGGATAACACATGTCACACTTCAGTTCAGTCACTTTTTCAATACTTTACAAATTAATGTATTTTTTTCAAGATCTCAATGTATCTTTCCCCTTTTCTGGTCAAAATATGTGCTGATGGTGTGAAATATATTGAATTACATCAGTTACATATTTGTTATAAATTCCTGTTCATGACTAAGAACACATATAAATAAATTTTTACAAAATTCCAAGTCCGATATGTTCTGGCAGATTTTTCCTCCCCTGGTGTTATAGATATAGCTTGAAGCCACCTTGCCTGTAGGGCACACTGACTACCAGATGTCAAGTTCAAGGATTTATTCTCAGCTAAAGCTGTTAAGGCCGAGGTGATACCGACAACATGTCAGCCGTGGTAACCTCTCTTTTAACAACCTTTTATCGCCTCCAGAGACGTTAAGACATTTCAGACATGCAACTGATGCCTGCGCTCAGCCTGATTTCTTTGTCTTGTGCAAAACATGCAACGTAGTCTGTTGAACACTTCATGATTATTCCTTTTCCACACCACACAGTGTTTATACTGTTTCAGTGTCTCAGCCTTTTAGCATTAACCGGGCCCCCCAGCTGCTCGACAATCAAACCACTGATGCCTTTTCTCTTTTTGTACTCCACATATAATAAGTTCGTCTAGGTCTTTCTCAGCCTCGTGGTTGTGTATTTGTCTGTCTTTGCACTCAACCAAAATCCTCACGCCTTCCCCTTATGTAGCCTGTCGGAGAGCGTTAAGGGCTACAAGAGCAGCGAAACGTAATAACCAGTGAAGCCCTGTGCCCTGTCAGCACGACTCATCCTCCAGAAGGCCTGCACATCAGTCCATAGCAGCCCAGATTAAGTCATGCTCCACAATAAGTCTGACACATGGAGCAGTTGGAGATTATAGCAGCAGACCATTTCCACCATCTACTAATGCAGATCGTCTAAAGCCCGTAGTGGAGTGATCAAACAGCGCACTCTGGTGGTGAAATAAAATAAAAAAAAATACTACTTATCTTTTTTTGGTTTGTTTTAATCTGATATTAAAACACATTACAAAGTCAGTATGCAAATACTCTCATCTTTTTAAATTAAATTATTGGAAAAAGCACAAGTCATGAACAGGTTTTTGTTGATGTGAGCTTTAACCAAGAGCTCAAATGAACCCATATCTGCTCCTTAAACTTCAGTTTTGAAAGCTAATAAATAAAATACTACTTGACAAGTGTAAAATACAGGCAAGTCTGACATTGAGTATATTATGTTCTTTTATATCCTCAGTTGAACAATCAGTCCAGTAGCTCACACTATCCAAGATACGGAAAAAAAAGCAACAGGTGTTCACAATAAATGAAGAGTGGAGAAGATTTATCAGGCAGCATGAAACTGATGAGAATACAGTATGTGGATAAATGATACCGCTCCAGTAAGGAGTTCAGTCTGTTTCCACTGAAGTGTTGAGAACGAGAGCAGGCATCACTGCCAACATCCTCCTATAGTCCCACGAGGATGTCACACAGTGCAAAAACAAAAACAGTTTGCAAAACTACCACGCAAAACAGAGTGCAATTCCTCCTAGCCTCAGGTAACACCAACACTGTTACTGGTAACGAGTCTGATGAACAGAAGGGACTTGCAGACTGCCGCTGCCCAATCTGACTGATCATCAGCACCTTTTCTAAAGCCGTCCATGTTGACTTTACTGTTACAGTGCTTTCTCCTGACCTCAGGTTGTTCGCAGAGGCTTGAAGTAAAATTATAGTTCATAAAGACATGATCCCATTTGTATACTTTTGGCCATTATTTTCCTTATTATTAGACCCCCAGGGACCATCAGTCCATCAGCAGAAAATTGAATAAATATATTTATAATTCAGGTCATTTTCAAGTAAAACATCCAAGTATTCTCTTATCTTATCTGTCAGGATTTGAAATATTTAACTTTTCTTTTTACTGCGGAAAAACAATGTTTGATGGATATTTTACTGTGCCTGTCTGGTTAATCGGGAAAAAAGAGACATGAAGACATTGTGTGAAACAGTTTGATGTGAACCGGACTGATGGTGTGGAACAGCTCATAAACAAAACATGTGCACCGATTTAAGATCAAAGTATGTGCTGTCCCAAACTCTATGTAGACATTGTAATCAAAGTAAAAGCGGGGATTTCGCACAGCATTTGCTTCACTTCAACATCATCTAACACATGCAGGCGTCATGTTTTGCTGTGTGTGTTAAGCTTCTAAATACATTTATCTTTAACTTCATAATTATCACATCAAAAATTTGTGGATTTTAAAGCGTACAAGTTTCTTTGAAGTCACAGTCCCAGTGTTCCCAGATTTCAGTAGCAGTTACTTTGGTGAGTACAGGGTTAAAATAAAAAAAGAACAGAAATAATGGCCAAAACTATAAATTTTAGAGCCAAGTCATTATATGCTCGAACCTTCAACTGGAAAACAAACAGAAGCATTTCATATATTGCAGATCCCTCTTTGCTTCAATAAAAATGAACAAGCTTAGCGGAGCATGTACAAAGACACAAAAAAGGAAAAATGGCTACCCTAAAGCTTGGTTTTAGTCCAAGGCAATTTGTGGATTTGGAAATCCTGTGTATTTACAGTTTGTCGAGTCCGTGATGGCTCAGTCCATGAGTTCATACCTGCTGTGCTGGATAAAGATGGTTGTGTCTTATTTGACCTTGTTTTCTTCCTGAGTGTTTTCTCCTATCACCACTATCTGTACGTGCGACAGGTGTCCGCTAGCATCCAGTTGCACCTCCTGAACCCTTTCAGTGTGTGCCTCCTGCAGCTGGTGCTGAGTCTCCTCCTCCGTCTCTGCCGACATGGTCATCTCCACCCCACTCTGGACCACCATGGTGGCCCCTTCTCTGCCTGACTCCCCGGTCAGCTGGAGCTCCATCACTCCCACTGCCTGCTCCACAGGAGTTGGATTGATCTCAATGACCGTGTGTTCCTGGCTGCCCTCCACTTCCCCCTGCATCACCTCCTGTTGCACTAGCATGGTGCCGTCTACCACTTGGCCTTCTATGGGCACCACCTCTGCACCGCTGGCCTGCTGGCTTAGCTGCACCAGCTCCATGGGGCTCATTACTGTGCCCAGTTGGCTGGAGTCCTGCAAAGCGGTGGTGCCAACCAGTGTCAAACCTGAGGACGGATGCAGGGTGATGGTTTCTGTCTTACCATCTCCAGCCACCATGTAGCGGGTGAAGACCTGCGAGCCGGCAGGGAGTAATGTGACTGTGTTGGAGGACTGGGACAGCGAGGCAATAGGTAGGCCTGCCACGGTGAATGGCTGCCCCACTGAGGACAGCGAGATGGGTGAAAGAACGGTGAACTGCTGAGGCTGCAGAGTGGCTTGCTGGTTTATAGGGGTGAGGAGGGTGGTGGTGGAGGCAGGTCTCTGGAGTCGAGGCCGCTTGGTCGGGCGTTTAGTGGGAGTTTTGTTTTTGGCAGGCTGGGGGCAGGTGAGAAGAGCTCGTACTTGCTGCTGCTTCTTCTGTTCTTCCAGCTGCACCTCCAGGTCTGCAGAGACATGACAGGACTGACAGTGAGGGCTGAGTCAACCACAAGAATGTATTCATTTTCAGCCGGGCAGATTTTTACAAGATTACAACGTGCACGTTCTTATATTGATCTCTAATATCAATATTCGTCAGACAGGCTAGGCATGTATAATCCAGCAAATGTCAAATCTAATTTCACAACATAAACCCCAACTAAAAACGTCATTCTTCATTTTAAGTATTCAAAAACAGTTTTGAGTAACATGATAGATGTGAGTGAAATAAAAATATATTCACATGGAAATTTTGACTGTTATCAGTCAAAAGTCATGAACTATCTGTTAGGATTCTGAATTGATTTACGATGTTACCCACCAGAGCTGCTATTTGTTAACTTTGACTGGCAACAGAAAGTATTTAGTGTGAACTTTGTCACATTGGGTGACACAGTGGTCTAGTGGTTAACACTGTTGCCTCACAGCATGAAGGTACTGGGTTCTAATCCACCAGCTAGTCGCGGACTTTCTGTGTGGATGTTCCCTCCATGTCTGCTGGGACTTTGGCTTCCTCACACAGTCCAAAGAGAACATATGGAGTTGGGTTAACTGGTGATTCTAAAGTGACTAATATTAACCAGATATCCAAACCTCTTATGTGTTCTCTGGATCCTTTATGCAAACTGTGTCTGCGTCTTTCTGCATTCACGTAATTATTTTTTTCCTTATTTTCTATGTAGCCAGTTAACTCTCCATCAGTGTTCAGCATAAAAGCAAAGCTTCCCTCTGGGTTCAAGGAGCGCCAACCGAGACCATCGCTGTCTTGGTTCAGGCAAATGATAAATCTAATTTAATTTCTATACAGCGATGATCCTACCTTGTTTGTAAAAAAAAAAAAAAAAAAAAAAACTTAAACCAATTCCCCTTAATTTTTCGTTAACTTTGTTCCTTATTTGCCAATTAAAAAATGACTTGGAGGGAGGTTGGACACAGAGGTAGATAAATAAAAAAATAAGAACCCAAAAATGATATCCAGTCATGGAGGAAGCAAGACTGTACACCATCTGGGAAAATGATCTTGACTGTTATTACCTCGGATGGGAGCAGTGGGAGTCATCACTCTTTTTCATTATCAATATAGTCAGACTCACAGCACAGCTGCTGTCACTGACCTGTGTCACTGCTCATTTTATCAGAAAAATGTGTAAAGAGAACAGTTATAGTGTGACTGTGGCTGCATTTTATTTTTTAAAATGATATAGTGATAATAATGATGATCTGCAGCACACAACCTTTTAATTATTGCTGGGTAATGGTGTAGTGCAGCGGTCTCCAACCTTTTTTGGGCCACGGACCGGTTTATGCCCGACAATATTTTCATGGACCGGCCTTTAAGGTGTCGTGGAAAAATACAACAAAATAAAACTAGTACCGGTACCGAAAAATAGAAGAGTTGTTCATAACACACGTGAAAAGACCCAGGAAAACAGAGTAAACAATCAAAACGATAACAAAATAACGCTGAAAACCGATAAAAACCCTGAAACCCATACATTTCACACCTGAGCCTCAACTCTCACGGACCGGTACCGGTCCGAGGCCCGGGGGTTGGGGACCGCTGGTGTAGTGCATTTGGGAGCAACAGCCTCACAATCAGGAACTGAAAGATTGCAAATTTCGATGGTTTTGAATTTAGCCTCAAACCTCAACTGTCACTTAACCATCACTTAGTTATGCTACTTTGGGCTCAGGCTGCTAGGGGATTTCCTAGGATCCGCTAAGCATGTCTTCTATAAGCTATTCAGGGTCACTCTCTGTGCTCTTTTTTTTTTTTTGCCTTCTTCCTCTCCTCAATCCCCATCAGCAGAAGGCTGCCCCTCCTTTCCTGTTAAAAGAGAAATCTTCCTTCCCACTCTTGCAAAAGTGCTTGCTAACTGAGACTCACATGATTACTGCAGTTTAATTCAATTTCCCTTTACTTTATTACGTAAAGCCATGATTGTTTTTAACAATTGGCTCTATAAAAATGATTTAAATAAAATTCGTATGAATTTAGCGGCTCTATGTGGCAGCTCCTGAAGTAGAGCCTTGTTTGTGTTCTGTACTCACTGGTGAGCATGCTGAGCACCTGCTCCTGACTGGGATCCGTCTGCTGCTTCCTCCTCTCCACAATCTTCTTGACCACATCGAGCAGATCGAAGACCTGGGCGAGGTTACTGAGCACGGCCACCTCTACCAGACAGGAATCTGGGATCAGTGCAGCAAGCAATGAAAAAAAATTACTTGGTCAGTCAGCAAGGAGGAACAGATTCAGCTGTTTGCACAGTAAATCGGTGTGGTATTACTCTAAAAGAAGCTTTTCTAAAAAGCTTTCTGCTGTTGGACAGTCATTTTCAGTTTCCAACAGCAGCTGAATTTGCTCTTTCTTTCCATGCATTTCTTATTCACATAGGTCAGAGTGTGTCCCACACAACGCCTCTGTTTTGGCGATGCAGTTTCCCAGTGCATGTTGGCGTCATTCTGCACCTGTGTCCTGTAGGCTGGCCGGATCCATGCGCTGCTGCACGCTGTTTAACAGCTCCACAAGCTCCGTGTTGATGTTGGTCACCACTTCACCCAACAAACCCACATCTGCAATGCCCTTCCAAAAGTTCAGTGTGTCCTCTGCGGACAAACAGACAACACAGAGCAATCTTACTCACACACAGTGTTACATATATCCATGCTGTTGGAGATGATTTCCATCTCTGTGCTGTTATTATACTCTTAATCTGTGTTTGGATGTGTGCTCAGTGTTACCTGAGATCTCAGCTGATCCCTTTTTGTCTGCAGACTCCGATGAACTTGAGCTCCAGTCCGACTTCCCGCTCAGGACCTTTGCTCGGTCTTCTGCAGCTGCCCCACCATTACCCAGGATCACCTGACCTGTAACTTGTACAAGACAACAGACATGACTGAGGAGAAGAATTTTAAATGCAATTCTGGATTTAAGAGGGAGCCAAACTTCAGTGTCACATTCCCCCACCACACTTCTTTATCTTTAGTGATCTTTTTTTGTTGTTGTTAATTTTACCTTATATCCTGCTGGGCAGCTTTCATCATGTCTCACAGTTAATTAGCAGTTTTCTGTATCATATCATTTCTCTGTGTGGGCTGAATAATTATCACCTAAAGCATTAAATGATATGCAGTGTATTAAACACCCAGCAGTAGTTTGCAGGAAATTATAAAAACTTAGACAGATTTTCTTTTTTTAATTATTCTTTCATTCAGCTGCGCTGTCACTGTAAAACATGTCAGTGTTGGATGAAAGCAGGTGAAAATATTGCTTTTCTTCACCACTAAGCTTGTTGAACAGGTGGTTTGATAATACTGCTGTTGGCTCTGTAGCCATGAAGGTAACAGCAATGAGCCCCGTTGCTGTCAACTCTAGAAGGACGCTATCGTTTTCTCCAGCTGGGTTCAATGTCTCGATTTTGTGCTGTTTGTGTCAGACAGAGAGGAGAGGCTGCGCTGTAAATTACACCACTAATGACAATGTCATCTTCACTGTTGTTGTGTTATCAGATTTTTGTTTAGAAAAGCAGAAGCAGCTTTTGTTGACTCTTATAATAGTTTACATGAGCACAGGTGCACCTAAACCCATTGTGCAGTTTGCACACATTTATTTTCAGTCTAGAGAAACGCTTGTATTGTGGAGAGCTCCACCACCAGCATCATCCTCCTGCTTTGTTTTCCATGACACTAAAAAACCTCCACATTCTTTCAGCAAGCTCATATGTTTCTTTTCTGTAAAAACGCAGACCGCATAAAAGACTTTTAAATAAGGGTTTAGAAGTAAACTTGTAACTGTGCCTAGTAGAAACAGTCAGTGGCCCTTATGTTAAACCTATCTTTTGACTGAAAAACACAACAAATATAACAAAATACTCAGTTATGGATTATAACATCACTGCTGTTTAAATGAGCAAATCTGGATTCACTGCACCTTCTAGTCAGTTCAATTCAAATGTATTTATACAGCATGAAATCACAACAACAGTTGCCTCAAGGCGCTTTATTTTGTAAGGCACAATAATACACTATATTCTGATTTTTACCTTGAGAGGATGTAGGTGTGGTAAGTCCGGTGCCATCAGGAGGGAAGCGTGTGTTGTTTATTAAAAGGTCAAACTTGGTGCTGCGACATGTGTTAGTGCACAGAGTGCTGTGCTGGTAGAAGTCCAGCTGACCGGAATCCATCATTTTTCTGGAGAACCGAAATGAGGAAATATATAAAAAAGGGGAAAACATGTTTGTTTGACCAGAGATGCTATCATCGTTGTCAAAAACATTTGCATCTTTTAGAAGTGAAGATCCAGTGCAGTGCCTTTCTTTCAGTACACTTATTCTGTTTGGAACTAATAACAACTGTGTAAAGTGCAACAACTAAGTCGTGTCTGAGAGTTGCCCACACAGATATCCTGGAGAGAATATTAGAAGACGTTTACATAAAATGTGCAACAGACTTAAGCAGTGTGCAATATCTGTATGCATTCAAATCAAGTTTTGCTTATAGCAGTCCTTTCCATACTGGCAGGGCAAAATCCACAGTTGGTGTTCTGTGCAAACCTGCATTCTAGAGTTACTGTGCAGCTGATAGAAGCTTTAGAAGGTGCATGTTTTAAAGCTGCTGCTTTTTAGTGTGACAGTCTCTCTGTCTTTGTGTATCTCTCAAAAGTATTTCCTGGTTGAACGACAACAGTTCAAAAAAAAAAAGAAAAAAGAAAAAGGGGAGTTTTATGCCCACTGCTTTAAGACACTTCATAAAATGTGTCCCAACTATTTTGTCTCATGCCAAGAACATGAGACAAGAACATGAGACAAGAACATGAAAAATGTTTGTCTTGGTTTAAGTGTGTGCATATTCCTGCATTTATTTCCACTTTCTTATTTTAACACTGCTGCAGGGCTATTCCACATGTTAATTTAATGCTGTGTTTTAGTGCTGATTGTTGCCAGTTTTGCTGGACTGCATTATTTCACTGATCTACAGCCAAAACAGTTGTAAAACAACAAGCGCTGCGAGAGCACAACCCTCTACCAAGGCAGCTCACTCTCTGGGCAGTATTTACTTAATATAATGACATCTTATTTTGGTATTATTTTGAATGTGTAGCTTTCATTTCATTGTTTAGTAAATTTATTTAAATGTTCAATAAAAAAACCCAAATAAAAAAAAAAGGTTTTGATCACAAGTTTATCCCCCCCCCCCAAAAAACAAAACAAAACAAAACAATACTCAACAAGAAATATTATACACATGTTTTATATTTCAGTGGTTATCTAACCTGTTACTGTAATGTTATAATAAAATAATGTGTTTTTATATCATATATTTATATTTCCTATATACATACATCTTGTCAGTACACACAGTGGCAGTAAGAATGAGTTTAAATAGCTCTATGTAGTGTAACTATCACTTTGACCTTCAGATTAACCTTTTGCTCTTGAACCAGAGGCGAAAGGTCAAATGTAAAATCATATTTTAAATCCTTATAAATGACATATTTACTGTCATATACACTTCAGCGTCTGGCACGTGTTACTTTAGCCTAAGCTGTTGTTGTGATGAAGGTAGAAACATTTATCTGGATTGTTTCTGCTCTCCTCCGGTACATGAGGAAAAATATCTTCACTCCTAAATGTTCAAGACGTTCTTCAGAGTTAGCCTTCTCACATGCAGCAAATAATGTACCGCTTTAGCTTTGGACATCTGCCATTTCTGGAAACAAGGTTGAGACGAATAGTTTGTTTGGATCAGAAAACAACAGGTCCCCTGAAATGTGTACAGGGCTTAAAGTAAGGGTAATTTCTTTATGGATGTCTATTTTGGGATTATTTTTAGTAAACAATTTATTATTAACTATATTATAGAAGCTATATTACTTCTCAAACACTTCAAACCTAGAAAAAAAAGAATCTGTTGGCTCACAGCTTTCTTGCTTTTGAGACTTAGGATCACCCAGTGCTACTACCTTCTGGCTCTGGCTGCCTGCAGTGCGTCCACATGACAAGAGATGCTGTGCCATTGCCAGTAACCATATAAGAGTCACTGGTCAGAAGGAGACACTGTTGCATCTATGTAAAGCTGCAGTTTGGGTTTTTTTGATAGTCAAAATCCTCTGCTTCTCCTGTGCTTTTAATCAGAGGCGCATATACAGATGTTCTACCCAGTAAAGAGAATCTTAACCCTGCACATTGTTGGTGACAGACTAGTAACCTTTAGACTGCAAGAGAGATTGAAAATAGCTGTGACACAATTCATCAATTTGAAATAGAAAACTCAATGTGGAAAAACCCCCACTTTGCTCATTCTTTCGCTGCTAGAAACCAACAACAAATTTTATCCAAGTCCAGACACAAATGTCAAAGGCATGAAAATGATTCAATATCTGTCAAACTGAGTTGATCACTACACAAGATGTAAAGCATAGATAAAATATTGTTGTCAAATGATGTCAAATAAATCCAAGAAACTGAAAAGTGTGTATAATAACGCAAACTGTATTATTTGCAGTGCAGTCTTCCAAAAGCCATGTGATCACTGAAGCAATATACGGCTAAGTCACAGCACACACAGAGGGTTTTTTACATTAATAAAATACTCATCCAAACGGTAGTGTATCCCTGAAACTAAATAATTATCCATGAATGTATCTACAAGACACAATGCTCACAGTCAGGTTTTCCACTACAGGCAACATCTTCCACAATTTCATTGTAATACTGATTAGCGCAGCTTAAACGTGATATAGAAAAATCTATTTCGACCAGTCAAAGAGACAGGAAGGCCCGTGGTTTATCGTTATCATCTCACTCACGCTCAGAAGTGAGGCAACAGCGGCTTGTTAGTTTCCTGTCACAGAGCCACAGAAGAACATTTGAATATTTATTCTAGATGGATGAGTCACATCTCAGCTCATTACCATGTGGTGCAGCGCAACCAACCAGCACTTGCTCATCCAAGGGCCATAGTATGTCAGTGTTCTGTCTCAAAAATAAATCCCCTCACCTCAGCATGACTCCCCCCATCCTGATGGCTCTCTTCCAGTCTTTCAGAGTAGCTTTTCCAGAAATGTGCACAAACTGCTTGGGACTGATCAACTGGTCTTCATACTAGTGGAGAGATTGCCAGTTTAGTAAATATGTTCAATAAGTGCAATGATGAAACAACAGAAATGACTAAAAGCAACACATTACAGTATCATACGTCTTGTCTTTGGCCTTTAATATGAAAATGTAATAGATATGCTGTGGTTCTAGAATCATGGTAGACTTCTAACCATGAGCAATTGTAGCAGCTAGAATAGCGAAATGTTTTTTTACTGTTTTATATCAGCAGAAAAAAATATAAAATATGCATAAGTTTTCTCAACTTTAAATAAAAATTTTCATGTGATGTACTGAATTCTGTTTTTTCAGTGCTACACTTCCTATTTAATGGAAGTGTATGCTCGATGCTCACAAGACAACAAAGAATTTCATGTGGATCAGAAGATTGAATGGACTTACAAATACAGTCTGACCTATGTAATTCAACTCATAACACTGCGATCAAAAAATGAGCATTGTTGTGAAAGCATGAACGAGAACATTTATCTCATAACTGCTCGGTCGTTTCATCCATGTCTGCTTGGAGCATGGTTATTTGAAACCTGCTACTTGCAGTGAGAAGAAGTGAACTGGATGACTCTGTAGATATAGTGGGACACTTGTCAGCGCTACATGTTTATTTCCTGCTCAGAGTCTATTGAATGACCTAGTTGTCACGTTGCTATATTTGGCAATGTTTTAATGATTTGTCATTTTACTCCATGTGAGCCAAAAGAAAAAAAGGGATACTAACCTTCACACATTTCACATTGATTCCTGGGCACACAAACTTTTTCACTAGCAACACAGCTTTACAGTCACCACACGTTATAGGGCAGCCAATTTCAACGTCGTCTCCCTCAGTTTGCTCTACAGGGAATAAATGTATGCAACATTTACCAACAAGCTTTATGTAATGGAATCTGCAAAACTCATGGATCATTACATCCCTCAAGTTGTCTGAATCATTGTGACAACTAGGGCTGGGCCATATCATACCGTTCACGGTAACACCGGTATAATGTTGGGCAACGATAAGAAAATGAAATATCGCAATAGAATATGGGTAAAACGCGCATGTGCAGTGCCTTTGTTTTCATACGCACATGGAGGAAAAAGCAGAATGAGGAGGGCGAAAGCGGATCGTTGAAGGAAATGAACCAGAACTGGTTTGTAAAAATGCTGCAACTTCAGTGGTGTGGCACTGGTTTAGCTTTCGTCCGTCAGATACACAACAAAGCACTATTTTTGGTAGAGCGTGCTAGCGGGCCGTCGTTATTACCGTGTTTGTTGGAAAATACGGCACACTTGAAATCAATCCTTTGATTTTTCTGAAAATCGACAGTGCCCCTTATAATCCCGTGTGCCTTATGTATGAATTCTGGTTGTTTACCGGCCTCGAAACGATTGTATGTACACGGCGCTCGAAAATCTGTCAACTGTTTTAGTACGACTTTGCTAAGCTACGAACCCGCACCGCTTGATGGATTGTCAGAGCATTACAGCTATTGTAGGCAGGAGCCTCGCGGAGTGATCCGTACTGTGCTTCAACATAATATTACCGTATTGTGTGTGCATAACCTCTTTTTAAGTGTTGTGGATATTATACATGGTTATGCTGAGGATATGACGGCCAATTTCCACTGGAAATGCCTTTTGGTTAAACTGTCAGCAAGGAATTTGCACTGTTACGTTTTTATATAACTTTAATGCACATAAAAACAGCTGCTTGTTTATGTGAAAATACAGTGATGTTTTTTTTTTTGCACTAATAAAGTTGTGGAGTTGTAAAGTATTTTGTCTGGTGTCAATTATATCGTCAGTTAATCGTTATCGCAAATTTTCAAATGTATATTGTGATAAATATTTTTGGTCACATCGCCCTGCTCTAGTGACAACCACTTACCTGAATGAGATTCAACAGCCATGACAGCCGCATCTGTTTCAGCAGACTCGTCTCTGAAAAGATAGATAGTTGGGACATTTTCTCCTGGTACAACAGAGTAAGCATGGGAAATGACTGACCATCTGGAATCTCTGTAGCTCTGATTGTGGTGTTATACAACTTTGAAGTGAATTGTAGTTTCTCAGTACATACCCAGTGGTGATTGGCTGGAGCTGGAGGATGACCTGAGTCTTATTAGGGTCATCGGGGTCACCTTCACCACTGTCGTCCTTTACCATCACCACTTCCCCCATAGGTACAGTGACCTCATCAGTGGTCGCCATCACACTCATTGAAGTAGACTAGAGGGAGGGGGCCACTTCTGTGCAACAGCTACCTAGGGGTTTGTTCATCTGAAAAGCCATAAATATATTAAAAAGAAAGGCAGATGATGGTTATAAAAGGCTGTACATTTTTCTGATTGTTTGCATTTCAGTTCAAACTGAAATTAAGAAAAAATGCTTCACCTACAAATAACTGAGCCCTTAACTCATCTTTAAAAGCCCACCATAGGTATTATTAGTTAACTTCTGCTAGCTAACATTGGGTGAGCTAACTGACTTGTATAACATTATAAGAAAGAGACATGACACTCCAAAAATACTAAGATGCAATTTATAGCAGAATTCCAAAAAAGCTCAAAGAGGGTGGGAGCAGAATAACCTCAAGGGGATAAAATATTTTAAAGCCTTTTTGAGCTAAAGTCAGAAAACTTTGATAACCCATCTTGAAGTATCTCTAGGCATCCCAAGATGACTGATGAGTTAGCGAACTTTGTCCTCAAAGGACAAAAAAAAAAAGCCTGAATATTTAGTGAGCCTCTGCACTGATTACATTCAATTCATTGAGGCGTTCCAGCTGAGATGAGAATGTAAGTGCACACGTGCCTACAAATAAAGACTAGTTATGTGACATTTATTGGCATCAGCTGGATTTACTCAGATTTAGTCAGCTGTATTGGCTAAAATAGCAGAAGTTGGACCTCAAGATTTGGACTACCTTTATTCATTTTGACAGGAACTGTGGGGCCTTCATTGTTCTTTCCATAAAGCGTTACCACTGTGCTTGGAGGACAGGAAACGCCTGATGAAGTTTGACCCAACTAAAACAATTTTCTTAGTTACTACAATCGACTTCTTTACTGTGGCTGACTACTGTGTAAGGCCAGATCCTAATAAGCTTTTGTGAGTCATCACTTTCAGCTGTGTTTTTGTATTGTAGTGGCTTAGATAAAAGAAATCCTGGTAAGTTTCAAATATTTATTAGAGATGGACTGATCCGATATTACGTATCGGTCCGATACTGACCTAAATTACTGGATCGGATATCGAAGAGAAATAAAAAATGTAATCCAATCCACTCAAAAGCACCTCACAAAACTTGCGACATAGCATAACCCAGCTCATAACCTTAGCACGTCGGAGGAGTATGCGTTGTGATAGAGCGGCTGTGGCATGCGAGACCTGTCGGTGGTCTGGTTGAGGATTTGGAGCCTCGCTACCAAACCGGAATTTAATCTCCGAGAAAGTTATCCCAGATAAGTAAAGCATGTGTGTAAGTTCATCTCTGAATGTTTGTGAAGCATTCCCAGCGAATGCTGGGAGCGACTGCCTCTCATTCTCTCTCTCTCCTGCTGCTATTTCAATCATGAAACTGATCAATGATCAGCTGATCGGCTTTTCTGTCGCGAGTCCGTCTCTCTTGTTAGTTTATCGCCCACTTTGCGCCACAAAGACAAGCTGTTGTTAGAATTTATTTAATATTACTTTCTAGACCAGGATCCTTTTCTACGTAGCTGACGGCTGGTAACTGTGCAGGGGCGGAGTCTAGCAAAGTTTTGCCAGGGGGGCCGATAGGGCATTAACAGGGAAAAGGGGGCACAAAGACATACTTTTCTTTCTTATTGTCATGTCTAGCTTTTAATAAATAATTATCTGAATCTTACAACCAAAGTTTTCATCTGATGTAAAATGTATAGAAGTCCATTATTAACTATAAAGTCAAATTTATAACCTCTAGTAAGCTATAGTACTTTTTCCTTTGGGAAGGTACCATCTGTGCAGTCTGCAATTCTGTTGAAGAAGATGTTGAATCTATTTAATATTATAGAAAAATATTGATTTCTGTGCATTTTTTTACACTGTGCATTAAATTAAGAGTTGATTACGTCAATTAAGCATCAGAGGAGATGGGGGGTGGTTCCCTATTTTTTATTTTTTTTGCTGGGAGTTGGAACCCTATTAGTTAGGTTGCTTAATATTTCACTAAGTACTCTTTAAAATACCAGAATAGGGAGGATGGTGTAGGTTTAAGTTTATTAGATTGATCAGTATTGCTGAACTATGAAATATTTTGGTACAGTGTATTTTTTGCATACAGGTATAACAGAATAGCTTTAGTTTTGTTTTGTTTTTTAAACTTGAGCATGAACTTATACAAAATGCAACAAGATATTTAAAAAAAACATTTTATTGATTAAAAAATATGCTATATCGGATTTATATCGGTATCGCAGATATCCAAATTTAGGGTATAGTATCGGACATAAAAAAGTGGTATCGTGCCATCTCTAATATTTATGCAGCTATATACAAGCTGATTAAAAAATAAACCACAAAAACAACCTAACACTATTTGTTTTACCCTGTATATATTATCCAGACAATTGTAGCCTGCTTCAAAATCTGACAATTGTGCCCCAAGAAATACTCATAAGATGAGTAATGTGAAATTTTCAAATCCTGTTATTATTATTATTAATAATAACTCTTTGTTTAAATGTAAATATTTGATGCAATTTAAAAACTAAATTACACAAAACTACTCGTTTCCTTTTACTTCATTGTTAGTGACTTCTTAGAGACCACTTCTTGAAGGAGAGCTCCTGGCTTCATGGCCCACTCTTTGCGAAACTCTGCTATTGACATTAGTTGAACTCATGTTACTTTAAATTGGATTGGAAAAATATCTGCCAAGATTAAAATATAAATCTTATTTCAATGTTGACGTGATGTTTCCAAGTAAGGTGAGCTTAGCTAATTCAAACCAAAGAATGCCGCGTTTTGTAAATGGCCTGACTGGTCCACTTGTTTGAGACTAATATTAACTGGATTAATATAAGTCATTTTTACGTAACGGTTTGCTAGTGTGCACGTAAGGGTTACACGCGAGATTATATAGGCTAGTAAATTTTCAGAAGCTGTGTTTTGCCGAAATGTGAAACCACGATAGCCAGAAAAGCAAGCTTTTTTTTTTTTTTTAAACGGATACATTTTCTTAGTAGAATACAGCAAGAGTGGGTTTTTCCCACGCGCATTAGGCATTAGAAACCGCAGTTTTACGTGTTTTGGGGGCTACTAACCAACAAGTGGCTACAAAACCATTCGCAGCTCAATTAAAACTACGCCTTTACGTTTTGCTGCAGATAAATTACTTTTATTAAGTTGGCTTGGTTATCGCTACCGCTGTAGCCAGCTGACTACTTTTCGCTGTCGGAGCTCCTCAGACCAGGCTCGGCGGTAGCCATTACTGCTAACACAAGGGCGTAACTTGATGTGTGGGAATCCAAACAATAGCGTGAACTCCACTGCCCGAGACGGGTAAAGCTTTGCATTTACAGTGTGACGGCTACGTGCCGCTTGTCTATGAACCGTACGTCCCTTCGTAACTCTGCATTTTAACTCTCCGCTCCCCCTCAAAATGACGTCTCCCTGTGCGGCGGCACGTACAGCAAACAACGGCACGGCGACGGCGTTGCCCCTCCATTCAGTTCGAGCCTGGCTGACTGAACCCCCTCCGCAATGTACCCAAACCACCCCGCTGAAACTACAGCTTGTGTGGCGAGAGCGGTCGCTATTTTACAGTTGTGTATATTTAAAAACACACAGTAAAAAAAATAGCTCGTTCTTACCGTTTTAAGAAGCCAAACGCATCCCTAGATAGAGGAGAGCTGCGGAGCATGCGCACTCAGTAGCTATAGTTCGACTTCCTGCTGAACAGCGCTCGCCCTGTTTTCACTCTCGTGTAAACCCTGTGTAAACCGCAGGTTTTTAACCACCACTGTGACTCCTTATTAGCGAACCTATATATGCAGGCGAGAATAAGTGGGTATTACCTTGATATATGTTTTATCTGGTCATATCTCAAAGACTTGTATGTTAATTTATAATAGTGTGTACTCTACATAGATCATATTGGTACTATGATACTTGCTTTAAACTTAAGAAGACAAATGCTTATTTCTGCAACGCGGGAGTTATGTGTATTCCAACATGGTTGGTCTTTCTATTGACATTAGGATTTGGGGCGCCAAGACATGTGATCATTAGCAGCCCCAGAAGTAAAAATTATGCTTCCGAAATCTCTTGATGGCGATTCCGCAAAAGAAGTGGAGACCCCACCTCTTCTGTGCCAAACATGGCAGAAGCCCTTTTTACCAATACGCCGGACATCTTGCGACCTGACCAGAGGTAACCTGTTCTTCACTCAGGGTTCATGATGTATAAACCTCAAGTCGGCACAGAAAAGTTTCACAATATTTTGTATAACTAAACACGGCTAATCAGCCCTTTATCTTTCATGTATATATTTATATAGTCAGCGGGAATAAAAACTTGACCGTATTTGGCTATTTAGTTTTGGACACCGAAAAGCATGATGGGTAAAGAGGGCGGGGCAATTGACATTGAATGCTGCCATTGGATGCTACATGCACTCGAATTAATGTTGCATTTAGGCAATGTGGGAAAGTCGATTACGTGGTTACAATCGTAATCGTGAGATTCTGTGAGATTCTTTAAGAGCGATTACAGAATCTTGACAGTTTTTCGACCTCTCCCTGAGCCTTACATAGATTACCGAATTTAATTGAAAAATAAAACTTTGTTATATTTAATTTTATTATATACTGTTTACGCTGAATTAAAAGTGAATTACACATCAATAGAAAGATCATAATACTGTGGTGTGTGTGTGCGGTGTTCGTGTTCTCTGTTGCTCAGATTCCCAGGCACAACTTGAGGACATTTACTAAGTTATCTGAATAGTAGCATTTACGATCATATACATTTAAGTATTGCAATGATCTTTTATGATGTTCTCATAGCTGAAGAAAATCAGTAATATTCTGAAGCTGACCTAGTGTAATACAGGTCCTAATTCTTGGTTTGGATCGACCTCACCAACAACATTTGTCCAAATTTTTACCCTAACTACCATAAATCAATCAAATCCAAGCAACGATTATGTTTCTTAAATCTGTCAGAAGAGGGCGCCAAATCTTTGTTAAGAAGACCATCCAGTCCAAACAATATTCAACGTACATCTATTTATTCATTTAATAACCAATATCCCTTATACATAACATAAAAATAAATAACATTTATTCAGTAATACTGTGGAACATGACCATCGGGGGATCAGAAGCTGTACTGTTGATGTTACATGGTAGAGAAACCCTACCTGTGATTATTTTGATCAGTTCACTGGATATGACACTATTAATTACATGGGTGATTTGTTTCTTTTTTCTTTCTTTTTTTTAAATGTTCTTATTTGTTTTCTTTCTAAGACTGATGAGAGATAATTGGTATCAATAGCTGCTTTTCCACAACAGGAACAACAGTGACTATGACCTTTGGATGGACTCGCTATGTTGTCAAAGTAAGGAAAAGGGAAGAATTATTTGACCGACCAAAAAGTCCACACACAGAGACATGTCAAAAGCTTTGGTAGTACTTTTCAAAGTTTCAGTGGGCTACAAGGGGGTCGGGCTTTTAGAGCAGGACATTTCTGATTGGTTAAATAGAATATTTGGAGCATATCATGCTGTTAATCACCTCTGGCTCCTCTTGGCAATAGATGTTTGTTTATTATGTTCCACGGAAATAGTTGGTTACTGATTCTAAAGCCCAGTTTGAGGGACGAGAGAGAGAAAGCAGCAGTGGTTAAGTCAGTTAGAAAAAAAAGTGTATACTGGAGAAAAAAAGGTTATTTTCTTTTTACCTTTTCTTTCTACAGGTGTTAAAGTCTAAAGCACAGATATACACATTCTCTGTGGTCAGTAAAGAGATAGTACTGCCATGCTGTTAGCTCAAAAAGGTACTCTTTATATTGTATTCCAAAAAGCTGCTCACAAACTAAAATATACAAATGTTAGGTTTTGGCTTGATTGACCAAAAAATAGTTCCAGAACGATAACTCCACTTACATATACAAACTGAAACATTTACATATTGGTGAACTTTATGAAGCTAAATTATTGGGCCAGAATTGAATAATGATCTTCTACTATTTATGTTCCTATATAGAAAAATTAAACAGAATTTTGGTGATATGTTTAAAACATAAAAATAATTTGTGGAAAGTAAACAGGAGTTAAACAGCACAGCCAAGGGTATGCACAGTTTGTAAAGCAAGACAAACTAGTAACACAGGTTTTGATAAACTGAATAGAGCTACCGTTTTCCTTTTTGCATTAAAAAAGATGCTAGAATAGCTTTGGATTTCAGTTTATTATATCATACAAATAATGCTGAAGCTGAATCCAAGTGTAATATAGTAAAAAGTGATACTAAACCAATAAACTAGTGATGCTTAAGGAACGATAGGAAGTATGTTTTTTACAGCAAAGCTACATTTAAATCATACGTTCAACAAAACTGGTAGAATGAAATATATCTATTTGAAGATAGAATAATTAAAGATTATTTGTCTACATGTGTATCCCCTGGAACACGTTAGGTTGGCACCAAAAGTCCAATATTTAAATCATTTTTCGGGGTTTGGAAAAAGTCAAAGACAAAAATTAAGATTTTGTAAACTAAGTGCGTGTTTGCTACACGATTCAGCTTAATGTCTTCAAACTATGAAGTCTGTTTGCTCAGAAGTGTTCGCTGCTTGGTGTTTTTGCAGTTCATTTGTTGAAATAAGTCAGATGGAGGCAGTCCTTATCCTAAGCTATGCTAACTGCCTCCTGACTCCAGAACACTAGAAGATAATGTCGCATCAGTCTTGTCATCTCACTGGGAAAGAGAGATTGGAAAGAAAGCAAATAAGAATGTTTCCACAAATTGTTTTCAAAGAACACAGAGAGAAGCTAGAGTTGGACTGAAAGTTAGTCATTCACCTTCATTGTAGTAATATTACTACTTACAGTCACTGCAGATGTATTGGTATAGCTTGTAAGATTACAAATAAGATGGAAATGAATCATATTTTTTGTGCTGTTGTTGATTGATGTATATATAAGTTTTCAATTGGTCTTTTTATCCCATAGATTCAATCTTTCAAAATAATACTTCTTCCTGTCTTTCCAGTGTTTTCCTCCCGACTACATGAGTCTGTAGTCGTCAGTAACGCTCACAGCACAGTGCTAACACACAGTATCATACAATACAATGTAACCCTTAGAGGCAAAAGTGAGAAAGGTAGTTGTACAGACTGGTTGGTTTTCATTCAGCACGTTTTCAAGGCTTGCCACCCCAACACTGTATTCCTCACCTATACCAAGAACTCAAAATGATAACATTTGATTGTCAAACAAACACAGACTTTCACCAGAGGGAAAAATGCAGTTTGAATTAGTGCAAAACAATAAATGAAAAATGAAAAGGGATTGCAGAAATGAGTTAGAATACATTCCTTGTCAAATACTAAGCTGCAACCACATGATGTACATTTTATTAACTGGTTCAGACAAATGAAAAAAAAGTGTCAGACTGGTCACATGAATGCTAAGTAAAAACATTAGAATGCATATTTTCTTACTGTTTACAGTGTAGTGTGTGTTGTAGAAGCCCCAGGGAAAGCAAACTGTACGCAACAAGATTCAGGCTTGCAAGCAGCAAATTATTAGCCTCTAGAGCCTTAAAGGAATTCATGATCCTCTTTGTTAAAGGTATTCACTGCAGGTTTTGGAAGTCATGTGTGCAGACACCCAATCATTCTCCATTACAGCTGAATAAAATCTACAGTACATTAGTTAGTTAACAAACAATGTGAGCAAGATTAACTTGCACTTCTTAACTATATATAGGTTGGTAAAATTTCTGCTTTTGAACACTGATAAAAGGGATTTCTTCTGTTATACTTATATAACAGGTCTAAAATACAATAGCCTACTACTGTAGCCCTTAAAAAAAACAAAAAACATTTAATATTCTTTAGGATTTTGCTGAAAAGATACTGATATGTGGGGGCCAAAGAGGCAAACTAGGCTAACTCAGCATGAAGACTGGAAGCAGGAGTGACAGCTATCACAATAGCTAGCGATACTAGCGCCTCTAAAATGCACAGCTTATGGAAGATAAGCTGTGCATTTTTGAATCTGTGGTTTAAAAAAGTCTAAATCATTTTTCTTATTAATAATTCAGCAGGGATTCTGGAGAGAGTTTTTGAGTGTCTCCAGCCAGCAAAGAAAAACTAAAGTCACAACAAAGATTTTATCACATTTGTTAGCTAACAAGGGATTTTAGTGACTTTGGGTGTAGGTATAATGCAGCTCCGAACTGTTGTTTTAGAATTACATTTATGTGCGTAAAATCAGCGTGAGAAAATTAATAATGGGAAATTCCTTTGTCACATTTATATAACAGGTCTAAAAACATCATAAAAACACAATAACAACAGAACACTTACATTAGTGACTTTGGAAAACAGTTGCGTATTAACAACTTAACTGGTTGAGTGCCTCCAGCTGTTGAAGAGTAATAGATAAACTTGGTAACTACAGGTTTTAGTGGCTTTTCAGACATGGTTTAAACAAGAAAGTGCCAGTTTAGGGAACCAGTAGGCAAGTGATACAGGTACAGGAAAAATACACAAAAACCCTTTTAGTTGGTGTTCAGAGGGAGGGGTTATAAGTTGTTAATTGCAATTTTGTCTGTTACATTTTTTGACAACTGTAACTGTGTTTTATAAAGCTGTCCAGAACAAAAACAGACAACAAATGCTCCCTTTGTTTGATTCTGTTTTGATCCAGCCACAGAACATTACCAAGGGCCACCACTGTCCCACAGGCCGCACTTTGGCAACCATGAATGTAAACATAAAATTAATTTGCTTAAACATGTTACTACTCTCAATTCTTTATGCTAAGCTAAGATGGAGCTTTTCTCTAATTCTCTAAGCACTTTTAAGGCCCTACAAAGAATTTTATCAGGTTCATTTGTACAGCAAAAAGAAAATGAAAGCAAAAAAGGCAGAAAATGCAGCTAAATCCTTTGTCATGGTTTCATGACATGACATTTGTTGGGCTGATGGCCCGGATAAGCTGAATTAAAGCCAGTTTAGAGGCCTGCAATAAACATATCAAAGCTCATTAGGTTTTGCTGTGCATATCATCTATGTCTATATCAATGGGGCATATTTAGACCTTAAACTTCCTTTTCTCACATTGCCACTTACTGCTATTGTGAATGTTGTATGTTACACTTAGTCTAATTACAATAATCTATGTTTATGTATACACTTTTACTACAAATAATCTCTACTTTTTTACAAAAAAAAAACCATTATTAATCTATTCACAGAATGGTCAAAGGTCAATTTGGCATAAGTGCACACACAGCTTACAGTAGCAGGAGGAGCACATTGATTTAATATGGTGACACTTATTGCAGAGTGCACTGTTCACACTATGAATTAAATAGCTTTCAGTCACCTTTAGCTCTCATCTTTATAGATTTAACTATTATTTACAATGTTACAGCCACTTAAGACTGCAGGCAAAGCATTGCACAAACTTTTGACAAGTAGAAACCCATAATAGTACCATATGAAATGTGGATGATGCCAGACCATAATAGTCCATTTGTACTTTCGTATGCTCAGTAGTCCTTTAGCTCCATTGCTATGAAAAGGAGTACTGGCTACACTTTAAGCAACAACACCTGATCACATTGGCATGCTTTCTTTTTTTTTTCTTGAGCAAGATGAGGCTCAAAACAGCTCGACTCATGCTACATCATATCAAATTAACAATACAATACTTTCCCAACAGGTACACATTGGTATTTACTCTCGCATCCTGATTGAAAATAATCCCAGTGGTCTGAAAAATCAACACAGAAAGGTCACAAAACACAAGGTGAGGAAGTGATGGATGGTGATATCACAGGGTGCTAAGCCTCAGTGATTTGGTTTTGATGATCGGCTGTGAGACAAAGTGAGCTCTTGGTGTGATAGGGTAGTGTTGGAACACATAGACTTCTCAGTCAGCAGTGGCAGCTTTTTTCAGCTGATGGAGGGGCCAACTCTTCATCCTCTGCAGAGTAGAGAACCTTGGCAGTCAGGCCGCTCTTCACGCCATCCCACCCATCACGGGTGACGATCTCCCCCATCTTCATCAGCTCGTAGATGTCCCTGGTCAGCAGCTCAAAGGCCCGGTCCACATTGCTGTTGCACTTGGCCGATGTCTCCACATAGCGAATGCCCAGCTCAGCGGCCAGCTGCTCTGCCTCATCCCTGCTCACCTTCCGGTCCTTGTTGAGATCACTTTTATGGCCGATGAGGATGTAGACCATGTGGTGAGGCAGGATGTGCTCACTCACCTCCTTGTGCCATTCCCTCACATGGTCGAAGGTTTTACGATTGGTGAGATCAAAGACAAGCAGGCCACCTACAGAGTTGCGGTAATATGATGTTGTGATAGACCTGGTGGAAAGACACATTACTGGTGTTAGAAACCAAAGACAAACATCTCTAGACTTATAACTTCTAAATGTCTTGGACAGCTCTATGAACTTGGATGGTTCTTACCAGTTCACTACCCTTATACTGCTGTTTGTAACATCACAATATGAGTTTAATTTTTGTGGTGGAAAATTCATATCACTTGAGGTAAGTCCAAGTCCTCTCTGCCAAAGCAAGTCAAGTCAAACCCTGAGTCAAGTCAAGTCTTTGAAGAAAAGGGGTGGCTGTAGCTCAGGAGGTAGAGCAGGTCTTCCAGTCTCCATGTCAAAGTATTGTTGAGCAAGATACTGTACCCAACTTGCCTGATGCGTTTTTCGGTGTGTGAGTGTGTTTAGGTGAATGGGACATGTATAAAAAAGTGCTTTGAGTGCTCAGTTACAATAGAAAAGTAGTCATAGTTCCCGTTAATCAGTTTATAGAAAACAAACTTAAATATTATAGCCAAAGTGAAGCTCAAATGTCAAGACAGCGGAAACTAAGATAAGATCAAGTCCCATTTGACACAATCCCAAATCAATTTTCACACTGTTTTCCAAGTCAGTCAAGGAATGTGGTTGCATGCTCTCTTTTAAGTCTTTCAACTGTCTATTTGCAAGCTAACCACTTAAATGACATAAGAATTTCCTTTCAAAGCTGTGTTACTGGTGTTTTACATTAGTAAGACTCATGGAGTTACATCTGTGCTTTAGCTGGCCTTGCCATTCAGATGAAACTACTTATTGAGACAGTGTGCTCAATATGAGGGGAGTTAAATATGTTAAAACTGAAGCATACTTAATAAATTGTGTAAATTGTGTACTTAAGTGAATTGTGTCAGGACCTCATTTATGATGGTAATATATCACTGAATGGCATAATACATAATTTGATAATAAATTTGGACCTCACCCAACATTTGGGACTTTTTTGTGGTCAAAGTCTGAAATGTACAGGTCTAATAAATATATCCAAGTCATATTGCTATGGAAGGTCTGTCTCTCTTGGCTTCTTAAAACAATTTTTGTAATTTTATGAAGTCAAAACTTGCAATGCGAATGCTTTTTTTTAACGTTTCATACATTAATATGCTTAATTAAATGGAAACTAAACAATGCCATCAAGTGAAATAAAATACAAAAACACAAAGGATCCTTTGGGTCATAACATCTGGTGCATGATACTATTCTATTTATGAAAATATATGCACATACAGACTCTGATCTCTGCATTTGATGCTTTAAAAACCACAGATTCTACAGCCAGATAGGCAGAAGTGAAAGACAAGTGAAGTGAAGCCTGGAGGAAAACACCCTCAGAGGCTTCAAAAGGGAAAGCAGATCTAAGAGCTTCTCCAGACACAGGAGTTCTTTAAAGAAAATGATCCGTGACAGTGGGCATGAAAAGCAGAGCAAGCAACAGGATAGATGAATGAAAACAACAACAAATAGATTTGGATCGGGACTTGTCATCCCCGCGAAGGCCTGGAAATTGTATATGAGGGAATCAAACTGGGGCCTAAATATGAGGAGGCTGCCCATCATCCATGAAAGCATGATGTAAGTCGCCGTGTCCTGTTGTTATACAGGTCAGGACATCGTAATATCTTCTATTGGCCTCCTTTCTCCGCTGTCTAAACTCATTTCATTGCATGCTAACTAGACGGGAAAATGGCCCATATTCAATTTAAAGGGACTGAGAATAGTAGCCAAACACGACATTAAACCGAGGGCTCGCAATTATTTATTTAAAAATCTCTTTGAAGGACTATGGTTGTATACATATTTAGCTCAGATAGATTCTATATAAGATACATTTCACCTCACTATACCTGAATCGTTCTTGGCCAGCCGTATCCCAGAGCTGGAGCTTTATTTTCACCCCGGGTTCGATGTCAAGCGAGCGGGCATAAAAATCTACTCCGACCGTCGGGTCCGCCACATCGCTGTAAATTCCATCCGTGAAACGCTTCAACAGCGAGGACTTGCCCACTGTGGAATCCCCGAGTAGAATGATTCGAAACTGATATTGCCACAAAATATCCATGGCATGACTAGAGGGAAGATACCTGCGGAGTGAGTGTGTGTGAAACAAAGCCCTGCGCGCAGCGTGTTTACATGGAGCCCCAGCTGCTGCTACTGCCTTCTGTTCAGGAAGAGACGCGGAGCACAGAGCGGCCGCAGCAGTCATGTGATAGATTTACCTATGCTCTACTAGTCGAATATCACTCCAATAAACCCGCTACAACCTCATCTGGCCTGTGTATGTTGTAAAAGAATCTTATAGGGGGTTTAAAAGCAGCAAAAACAGAACAATATATCTATATGAGGTCCGTCTTGGGCATGTTTTGCACAGTTTCCTTAACCACCCCCATTTATTTAATATATCGTCCACTATTGATATCACAAAACCTAAAACACGCAGTGTGTTGCTGTCCGTGGTTCTGAAGTAGCCTATATTCACTTCCAACGATGGTCTGGATTTACAGCATATTTCTCTAATTGCACACAGTTTATTCTGTGCCGTTGTACTCTGTGAAAAATGCGTGGCTCTTTAAGTGTAAAACTCTATTGCCCGAGTCTCAGTAAACTTCAATAAATACAGCAGGCATTGCTTAAAAAAACAGAAGAAGAAGGAGGAGTGTGATACTACATATCCCACTATTCAACCGGTCCGCGTGAGTAATGCGAGCCAATCAGCGCACCGCTGCCGGACATCAGAGTGAGTATATAAGAACAGCGGGCCTTACCGCTTTCTCTCTTCCTCCTGCAGTCTTCCATGTGAGCTGAAGTCCTCAGGAAAGAGCTATGGTAAGCTTTATGCTGGTGTTGTCGATTACTAAGGTCATGTGTCCAGGTATTTACATTAATTATGCGCAGCTTTTAAATCCAGTCCATCTTGACACAGAACTCATTATTTTTGTTATAACATTAATATAGCGCTTTTAGCGTAAGTGAGTGAACGACCTTACGTTAGCTTGTATCTACAGCCATAATGCTTGACTAGTTAATACTTTGGGATATGTAGTATAGTCTTGTTTTTATAATCAACACTTCTTGCTGACTTGTCATATAACTGGGAACTCGACAGTAGATATACCTAGGCTTTAGTGACCATGCTAAGGGTTAGCTATAGCTTAGCTTGCTGATAGCTTAGTTTGGACGCTAATGGGTTTGTACCACGTGGCCAGGGGTGGATCTTGAGAAATTTTCTTAGGGTGGCATGGAAATCAGATTAGGTGGTAAAATCAAAGCCGTTTATTTAAACGCATGCAGTTGTTACATACTTATGTATTATGTGTCATTATGCAATATATTGTTTTAGGATTTGTTTAATAATTGTCGTTTGGCTCTACATGTTAATGCTAGCTCATTTTAATAAATATTAGCCTTTAAGGCCTCTGACGTTAATAGCGTTGATGTCATTGTAACAAACTTAAACTACCCTTAAAATCAAAATTAGACTAAATGCAGTTTGTTATAAAAGGTGATGGCACAGGCAACTGTTTTCAACATAACTAATCTTTAATCTTCTTTATTTTGTCTCTAGGGTCTATTTGAAATGGCAGTTCAACCTTGTTTCCCAATATGCAGAATGCAGGTGAGTCTTTAAATTAAAACTAGTTGTCCCATCGTGACAAGGCTCCTATCGAAGCCGTTCATGCTCCCATGTAGCAGTGAACGGTCAAAAGGAAGCCGACATGAAGACTTTCACCGACGGTCGCTGTTCGGTTTTGAAAATGACTGCTACAGCAACATTTAGGGGAAGGACATTGATCAGTGAGTTATCCCAGGATTAAATGCAAACTTTCAAAGAAATGTAAGTGATTTGCCTTGTCTTCCAATAGGTACTGGGTGACACCAAAGGTGCAAGGCCAAAACCATCAAATGAGAACACAACATGCAGGTAACTCTTCAAAATATTTCAGATAATCCTGGCTGTGATGACAAACTTGCCCTCACTGATCTAGTCTTGATTGAGACTTATTCTTCCTGAGCCACATTTATTAAAACTTGATGGGATTGACTGACTTTAATCAATGTTTGTTGGGGCAAAATGACTAACCAAATTTTCTTGGTAGGTGAATGGAGACCTGTCATTTGTAAAAGAGAACTGCTCATTCAGGTAAGAGTTCACCTTTTTTAATTTTTTTTTTTTAAGAAAAGGCCACTTATGTCCCTGTTCCAGCATGCTATCCTAAGGGTCGGCGCTTGTTTGTAGCTCCATGCTCTCCAAGTGCATGCAAGAAAACAGGGTGGTCTTTGACTGCTGTGGCCACTCTGTGCCATCAGCAGCCACTCAGCTGTCCAACAGACATCTGCTAGAAAAATAGACTAAGCTAACATGCAACTTGTGATCTCACTTTTTTTATTTTTTTATTAAATTTTAGGAGTCTATCCGCGTGACCTCTTGGTGTTGCAGAGCTGTAACAAAGTGCATTCACATCTGTAATTTACAGGTATGTTGATGCTGAAATTGGTCAGTGGTTATTTTGATCTATGATGACCTTAATACATTGTTGACTTCTGGATGAAGCTTGCGGATATGGGACTGAGATCAGTGCATAATGAGAATGTTTACAAAAAGTTTCTGAATTTGGCTAACCTGAGGTGTTTATTTTTTCAGGTATGGTGCTACGTTGGGAGTGACGTGACATTTCCATGAGAGAATTGCTGCCAACTTTCCGGCTAGGTACAAACACTACTGAAGAAAACCAACTTGGATCGGAGCTTTCTTGCAGCTGTGAAATGCATGAATGAGTTGACCTGGCTCTTTAACCTCCTAAGACCTGAACTCTTCCATGGCATGAATTTTTTTTTTTTTTTTTTTAAATGGTCTAAATAAGCCAAAAATGTGACATCCACAGATGTGGATGCCAGGTCGTAGGAGGTTAAGGGGCTGAACCTAAGAAAATGAATCCTGTGTGTGTGACGATTGCAGATTGTAATAAAACTGACTTGACTACCTCTGGAAACTTGTCTGTAACATGATCAAAAGAATGGAGACATTGGACTATGCTACAAACCGTTTGTAGCACATTTATTTACATTAAGGCCACAACAGTACTGTGGTGGTAGAGTGGCATCAGAAACAAAAGCAACAGTTTCTTTACAACAGTATGCCACAGGTGACAAACTCTGTGAAAGTCAATGACGAAGCAGGCGTAGAAAGCTAATCACACACCATGTTGTATGCCTGCAGTAGGTGACCTAATTGGAGACCTCGACTTGGAGTTGTACAAAAAGCAAAATAGGTAGACTAAAGTCACAATTATTGCTTACTTGTTGCAATAAATGTGACGACGTTAAGCTAAACTTCAGCTATGATCCATTAAAGTAAACTTACAAGATAATCTGGAAACCCATAACTTCCATGTTAAACCAGTTTCTAAAGTGCTGTTGTAGAAATGAGTGACAACTGAAGTTAACCACTCCAATTAGTTTCTGTAATAGTTCTGTAACATTGATAGGAAGAGCAAAAATGAATAGTAACTGTTTAAATTTTATTTAAACACTATGGGTTTTTCAGTGGTGTTTGTTTCATGAGCGTAGTTTAGAGCTGAAAGTCCCATAACTTAATCTGCAGCTGCCTGTAGTCACTTCTGTACTCTAGGAAATGCCAGCCCATCTGTGAACAGTACAGTTTTCCAACACTTGAGACAACTGATGGTAGGACACTTAATTAAGATATCTTCCACAGATGGGTCATTCATTGGAGAGTGAAGGAAGTTTCAGTTCTGATATCTCTGAGTCTGGTGTGCTGCTGCCGCTCCGATCGCTGTATGTGTCCCTGTGTGGCACAGAAGCAGTCTCAATTAGTATGCATACCTTTAGAAAATGAGTAAACTGAGACATACTCTATTTACCGTGGAGATAGACGGCAGCCTTTCTGTAAGTAGCTCTGCAGCTTCCCAGCAGCAGCAAGCAACAAACCAAGGTAGGGGGGTGATGGCTTGATGGGGCGTGAAGTGAACTCGGGATGGTACTGCACACCAACAAAATATGGGTGATCTGGAAGTGGAGAAAACAATTTTAAACAGAGTCTGTTGAAGGTTTCACAGAAAAGGTTGATATATTAAAACTGAAAATAATTCTGTTTGCTTTTCTGTACCATCAAGTTCAATGACCTCCATCCTCTCTCCTTCCACATCCTGACCTACGAACCGGAAGCCCTTCTCATCAAAGTGGCTCTTAAGCTCAGGGTTGACCTGTTCACAAAAACAAGGTATACATTTGGATCACAGGTTGAGCAGGTGACCAAGATTAAATGCGGCGCTTTGGGTTCAACCCCGGATTGGCCCTTTGCTTATACGTCTCTGTCCCCCACTAACTCTCTATCCAATTTCCTGTTTCTGCACTGAACACTTAATGATGATGAAATATTAGTTCAGCATTACCTCAAATCGATGTCTGTGCCTTTCATCCACATACTCTGCATCTCCATAGAGCTTTCCTGGAATACAGAAGAGCTGTAAGCACAGAGCAACAGTTCATCACCGGCTGGTCCAGGTTGAACTAAAAGCTTTTCTTACGCAGTGTGCTGTTGGTGGTTTGGAAAATGGTCCGTCTTTTCCCAAGCCTCATGGTGCCACCCATCTGTCCGGGGTTGTGTTCTGGCATATCAATCACCTGCAAAGATTAAAATGAAAGGATGGATTTTAATATACAGTTATAGTGCATGCAGGAGTCAGGTTGTTTGTGCAATGCATAAAACTTACCACAGGATGCTTTGTTTCCGGGTCAAATTCAGTCGAGTTGGCATCTAAGTATGAAACGGAACAATATGCCATTAGTTATTTTAATCAACAGTCAGCCACCAGTGCCCACCTTTTATGAGTAGGAGATGCATTTCAAGCTGAAAACTTACTATGCTTTGAAGAAAGCTCCCATTCCCACACCTCTCTCAAATAACTATGCTGTAACAAACACGTTTTGACAGACTATCTTCTGTATTTTCAAGGTTCAATGTTAGCATTACGGCTGCTGCAAAGTTGACAAGAAGGCGGACACTGGCTGGAACCAGTGTTTATGGCGTGAGTTTATTAATTTATTGAAGTTAGAAGTAACGTTTTTGAAGATCAGAAGGCTAGGTTTAAGTATTATAGGAACCGCCTTTACAAAACTAAATGTACAAGAACTGAACTGATGCACAGCGGGAACAGACATCTGAACCTTTGCTAGTTAAGCTGCTAAAGAAACAAGTACTTGTTTTTTTCCCCCCAAATACATTTCCAGGCACAACTGGTGCTGCAATTTCCCACAAAAATAGTATGACATAAGAAAAAAAAAATTTGCCCAATTCCAGGCGAACCTTAACAATTGAGATCGAGGGTATTGCAGGAAAATCGGGACTTTTGACTGAAAAACGAAGTAGGCAATGTGGTTCTTTTTTATTCCTCCACACACAAGGACACACAATCAGATTATAATGGTCCTCTTTGGATCTACCTATACGTACCCACAAACAATCTCAATGATGAAACTTAGCATAGATATAGATCCTATGTTCATTACCTATCCATCCAAAATTATTGTATACATGGAACAATATACACTTTTCATCTATGAAATTTCAATCATTTATTAATTACCTACATCACTCAGCATTCACATTAAAAGGTAATGCTGCTTTGTTTCTTCTTCTTTACTGTGAAGATAATATCAAAAACATTACCTGTCCAGCCGAGCACGTTCCTGGCAAACTCGCATACAGCCAGCTGCATTCCAAGACACACACCTGCAGAAATATGAACACCAGTCAAGTAGTGTTTCTGATGCTGCTACTTACTGACATTAAATATGGAGTAAGATAATAAAACATGTAATGTGATCCACAGAAACTCTTGTACCGAGGAAGGGTTTTTTCTGTTTCCTGGCCCAGTTGATGGCATGAATCTTTCCTTCAGTTCCCCTCACACCAAAACCTCCAGGAACCAGGATGCCACTGAGGACAGTGGAAACATTGTCATGTTGATAAAAGTCCCATTTTAATATTCAGGTTAGATTATCTAGTGAGACAGGACATTGTGCTCCTACAGGGCACTCACTCAGAGCTGCAGAGTTTTTGCCACGCCTCGTGGTATTTCACTGGGTCCTCCTGCAGAGTGCTTGGCTCCAAATTAGCAGAGTCTATATACTGAGAAGAAGAGATGTTCACAGCTTACATGATTGGTCTAAAGGCACAAGTCAAGTTGTTTAAAACAACCCCCCCCCCTCCCAAAAACAAACAAACAACCAAACAAAAACCCCAAACTAAAATCAACTATTTAATCACTAATCATAACTATCAACACTTTCCCCTACTCTAGAGCCGTAATACCTTTAAACTTCAGGGTACTGCAAAGACTGTCATAGCCATGGAATACAATGAGGAAGCACTAAATCTAGGAGGAGCTGGCTTCACTTTGAACCATGTCTAGATCATTTGAGACTAAAGACTATGATTCTGTGTACATACCTTAACCTCCAACTTGTGGCTGATGGCGAGTGCAGAGTGTTCGAGAGCCTTTATAACAGAAGCATAGGAGTCTGAGAACTTTGTGTACTTCCCCACCAGTGCGATAGAGCAGTGCTCTAGCAGTCTGTCTGACCTGTGAGGAAAAATATGGGCATCCATTTATTTCTCAGTCTTCTCTGGAGGACAATGACTTCTCATGGGAAAGGTTCAACCCACAAAGGTGCTCACTCACCTGTCAGACATCTCCTTCCATTTAGTCAGCATCTTCCTTGGTCTGGTCTCTATTGGCATATTCAGTCTCCTGCTCAAGTAGCTCACCACACCCTGATCTTCCAGCAGTAATGGCACTCTGTAGATAGATGACACATCGTGCACACAGATGACCTGGAAGAAGACAGGTAATCCATTTTAGATGTTTATGGAGAGAGCTTTATGGCTTAATCGAGCCTGACAGGTGCTTCACCTACCTGCTGAGGCTCCACGTGGCAGAACATTGAGATCTTTTCCTTGACAGAGTTCTCCAGCGCAGTTGTACAGCGGCACATGATCTGCCAGTGAAAAGCAAACAATCAGAAAAACCTTTAAAGATCCAATTCCAAGTTTGTCCAAATTTGAACTTCGCCACATGTAGCACACATGAGGCTGGGTTCAAGTAAGAAAATATGTGTCCTCTTGCATGACTTCTCTTTTTAAATTTATAGAAATCTGTGTGAGCACCTTTCTTCATCTTACAGTCCTGATTATGTGCAAGCTGGCAATGGCCTCCATCTCCATTCTGACTAAATTTCTCTTTTTTTGTACTGTGACTTGTAGGCAAAGAGGCTTTAATTTTTTCCTTGATTTAATGTTTCAGCAGGATCATGTCCATTCTGTTTCAGAAAAGCTTCCCAGGAAGTTAAAACCATCATATCATCAATGCAGAGTACCAGCATGAACGCATCACCCCACTATACCAGTGATCTAATAGTCTTGCTTTATCCTTTAAAGGGGTCATGTTTTAGTGCAAATACATCATGTACAAATACAAAACTGCTTGCAATATTATCAGAATGCTAGCACTCCAATTACTAATCACAGTTAAGGGTCCGTGGTTGGTTGATGGTGACTGTACAAAGAGTTTGCACAATTTTTCCATACAGCGGTAATAAATGGTTAATCCAATTTTCATTTGAAGAAGCAGATTGGAGCAGCATTTAAAGTTCAGGCACCTGAAATGTGTCAAATATGCAAAAAACAAAACCCCCCCTAGATAATCAGGAAAGAGGGCAAATACTTTCATGGCACTCCAATCCCTGGTTGCCTATAGTGAAATTATGAATTAAGAGTCAAAGAATGTTTTGCACATAAAACATCTGGGTTTCAACATATAAAACATGCCACTCACAAATCCATTTTAATTCAGAAATGTAATTTAAATGCAAATGAGGCATCAAACATGTTTATGTAATAGCAAC